TGGTCCTTTAAGTATTTTTCATGTATAAATTAAATTGTAAAGCATTCCTGTGTCTATAGTTATTTTAAAGTCAAGTATTAAAATAGTGCACTTGTTAAAATCACTAAAAAATATTGAAAATGTTTTGAAAAAATCCTTAGACAAGTGTAAAGCCCTTTATAAACAAGGAAAATAGTGAAGCTCTGCAACCCAACAGGAAAAGGGAAATGCTTTGGAGGTAGGGTCTCGTATGTATACTATGCTGAGCCATGACATCAAGGTAATTATTTTCCCCTAAGTTAAATCTCTTATCTTACAAATCCTTCCTTTGCTAGAGGCCTCAGGCCCCACAGATAGCAAAGCACTTGAGTTCTCAACATCCAAGAGGTCTAATAGGAGCTCTACTCTTACACCCCACTGACAATCAACTTCTGTCACACTGTGTTTGTTGTCCCCTCTCGCCAGTCAGAGGCACTTCCCTCCTGTGCTTCTCCAAACATCTTTGAAAGGCAAGGTGTACCCTTGCAGCAGGCCTTTTGCAGGCTTCTACTTCTGCTGTAGTCAAATTTCTATCCCGTGCTAGGGCCAAATTTCCAAAATGTGTCCATTAAGCAAACACTTCCCACTGAGAAACATACCTGACATCGATCTGCAGCCCTACTGAATCTCTTCCTGAAGAGTTCATATGGTGCTGCCTGATAAGAGATTTAGGTGTTCCATGACCCCTTCACCCATGTTTTTTTTACAAATCTTTACAATCTAACTCCTTAAGTTCAAACAGATGGCAATGCATATTGGTTATGATATTTATTATATAGGAAATAAACTAAATTAAGGGTGATCCTACTACTTCAACAAGTTACCCAGCATTTGCACTATAATAATAGGTGAAAACAAACAATACAAAGGCACTACAATAAAGTTAAAATATTGAGTCACCATTGAATATGCATATTTTAAGCACAACCCCTTTTAAAAAAGGTTGCTACTCCTTTCCAGCATGACAGTGGGATTGTTCAGATGAAAAAGCTGATAAGTATAAATACAATGATTTTTTAAGGATTCTATAAGAGCGTGAATTATGAAATCAATTTTAAAGAAAAACTTGGAATATGCTGCCTACATTGCTTACTATTAAGGCATATAGAGTAACAGAAATAAATGGTCATGTCTGGTTTTGCTTACTAGAATTAATTACTACTAAGGTTACATAATTAGGGGTCATACTTGCAATATGATCTGTTTTAAATTAAATATTTAACAATACCAGTTAAAGCATTCCTGTGTATTTCTCTTTACTATAGGTAATAACACATGTATTGACATAATTAAATGGCAACGTGTCTTAAAAATAACTGCAGCATATGTTTCTGTATTACAGAAAAAGTATAATATCTTAATAATGTAATAAAACTTCTATCTATAATATCAGAGATATACCAGAGTACATTTATAAGTACACAGGTTGAAAGCAGAGACCACTTCTAAGGAGTGGTTACATGAAAATAGTACCTTTCTATAATATTCACATGCAACAATTCCTTCTCTTAGTGTAAGTCAAGATACAAAGTGGATCATGTTGTGCACTTGTTTAAGATTTTTACAAGCGTAAATATATTATAACAGAAATTCCAATGCAAAAAAGAAATATCAAAAATCATATATATCAAATATATATTTAAGTTGCGAACACTTACGGGTGTAATATACTTTCAGAACCGACATAATGTAGCTAACCAACCATTTAAAACTGAAAAGTAAAGAAACCCTTTGTTTAATGCCTACAATTAATCTTTGCTTGGCTTTATACTAACAATAGAATTCTGATTAAATTCTTTTCATGGTTGTGGTCTTAAACTAGATCAACCCGGGGTTTAAAGACCCTTTCACAGAACTCCTTAGCTGAAACATATAACCTGGAAATCAGTTTTGAAATAAGTGTGGTGTTGGTGCAAAAGGTGTCATTACCGTGAAGAGGAGAGAGGAGCATTCAAGCTCCAGAGCAGCAAGGAGAGTGTCGGCTTCCAGACTTCCTTACAACAGAAATTTCACATTGGCCCCAGTCCACAGTATGTTTAAGTAATTAATACTCATTTCAGCCAACCATCATTCTTTGTCTTCAACAGACATCCCAATGGAATATAAAGATTTGTCTCATTCTTCTTGCCCTTCCTTACACAACTGACAAACATTAATGGTTATTCCATCAAATAGTGCAGTGCAGAATCTCATACAAGCTCCTATGTCATCTACAGTTTGTTGGTGCTGGTTTCATCTAAAGGGAAACTTTAAAAGGAGAGGCTGTCAATAAGTTATTAAGCTGACACATGTTATCTACAAGAAAGACTATACAGCCTGGGATACTGGTTTCACATCAAAAGTCCATTGATAAAAACTTAAAAGTGAGGAATATTCTATAGAGAAAGTCTGAAATTTTGTACATAGTTATTCAGTTTGATAGTACTTAAATGACTGCTCCTAAGGGATTTTGCTGAATATCTCTCAATGTACCCCACAACATATGAGACAACACTAGAGAAAACTCTATATACTTTCTGGCACATAGAGAACATTTCAAAAGCTATAGAAGTTGTGTCAGTGATTTAATTGGAAAGAACGGGTTTGCCAGTTAGTGATAAAGCTGAAAATACACATGAACAATTATTTTCCAAAATCAGGAAAAATAAATATGGAAAAACTCATCTGGGTTTTGAGTTGACCATAAGCCAAGTAATGGCTTGATACTGCACTGATTTCAGTATCTTGGAGGGATAGTCATGAAGTTTTTATTAACTACATGAGTAAATAGACTTTTTGAAAAAAATGTGTATGTCTCACTTCAAAAAAAACCAGCAAAGTGACTTTTCAGGAAGCAACAGATACATTCTACAAACTAAATAATATATTACAGTCTCATAGAGTCACACAAGACAGCAAAGAGTAGAAATAGTGGCCTGATCCTATGAATACAATTTGCCATAGTTACTACTTTGCAAGTCTCGTTTTTCATTCATTTTTCAAATTCTTGCTTCATGTGTACTTCATTAAAAGCTCTTAATTTAATTTTCACCTGTTTACGCTTTCAACAACTTCACTTTCACACTGAGACGGCTGCCATGGCATCAAGCACTAAATAAAATCTTCAGCTTAGTAACAGAAAGATCTTTTCTTACTAATACTTTCAATAACTCACCTTGCATGGCAGACCTAGTGTGACTCATTGACATTCCTGGGCCCCTAAATGAGTTGAACTCATCTCTCAGGAGAAGAAATAGGACTGTCTTTGTCTGGGCACAACAGATAGAATCATTCGTCAGGAATCTCTGAAATATGCCTTCCTGTTCCCAAAGAAACCAATTTGCCTCCCTTTGCTTCAGACTTTATCAGAGCAGCTTGGTCAAAACTCTTAAAAACTCAAACAATAATATCTACAATCAGTTCAGACTCAGCTGCAGAATTATTTTTGGCTCATAAGGGAGAAAGAGCTAGATTACCAGTCCCTTCATCCATGATGACTGCAACTGATTTGGCAGCTCTAACTAGACTTTCAAAACTAACCTCTCTGATAACCCCCCGAAACTAAATTTTTCTAACAAACAAACTAGCAAATTTTGGCTGCCTCTAAATTAGCAGGATCCAGATTGCATTGTACAAATCTGTTTGTATGGAAATCTCTTGACCTATTTACATCTCCCTTTCTGACTCAGGTTTCTCGTTGGTGGTTGTGATTAAAGAGGAAGTACAGCAATCATGTTGAATTAAAATAAATTAAAGCTGTGCACTTTCCCAATTAGGCCTTTTGTGGGATGACTTTCAACAGGAAGACAGGCCCATCCATCACTCTGAAGTGCAAATACATTTTAAAAGCTTCATTCTCTCTTATAATTTAAAATTTCATAATTAGTTATCATGGGTGTGGTTGGAGTTGCAAAATGTCTCCTTATGGGTGCAGAGCTGGAGCACTTGAATCTGCAACAGAGTCACTAGTTTTGAAGGGCTGGCAAGCCCTGAGTTAAACTGCAAGACAACTATCACCTTGTGAATAATCACATATATGAATCGAATTTGAATTGTTAATTATGTACTGTGTTTATTTCTCTGCCTCAGCTTCTCTCCCCTGCATTACTTCAAAACCAACAAATGAATCTTAAGTTTTATTCTTCATTTATACAAATATAAGTTTAGGCATAGTTATATTAACATACATTTTTAGAAGCCAAAAAGAAAATAGCCTTCTCTGTAAGTACACAGAGTATTTGCATTGTCACAATATATTACATGGACTGGATGCTTAACATGTAACTGTACTAATCTGTATGGCAAACATAATAACAAAAGAAAGTCGTTCCGAGATTTTTCTATTTTTATTTTAAAAAAATAACAAAAAACCTTTCCAGTGAGGGACCACATGTAAAACTATGGTTTCTCTGCACAGAGACCAAGGCTGCTTATTACCTACAGTACACTAGCTATGATGAACAGACCACCATAGTTGTGACAACTGATGTTGCTGCCTCCAGGGTAAAACAAAGGTTTACATATTACACAAGCAATTTAACTGTTTTCTAAACATATTGCCAAGACAGTGGGAGTTGGCAGCCAGCACTATGTTTTAGGTTTTGGATACTTGGATTAGAAGTGACTGCTGATTAGAGACCTTTTTATTTGTCTTCTACGAATTACAAGCAACCTAGTAACCCAGCAAAGAATCCTTCACAGCACTTAAACTTGTCTTCATGGCTTCCCAAAGATTACATACACAAATCACTCCACAAAAGTGGTGCAACAGACTTGTGCATAGATAACTACATACGGCAATTGTCTTGTTCTAACTCTTAAAGACTTCCCCAAAGTGAAATGTTTTATAATCCTTTTTGTGCAGTAGTCAGGAAAGAAATAAAAGAGTTTGGGGAAAGATTATCCACAAGAAAGAAACTTTTTTTTTTTTTTGGGTTCCAGCTGAAACACAATAAAGAACATAATTAACTTCACAATTCTTTGTGTTTTTCATTTGACTGCAGGGAGGAGATGAAAGAGGACTGTTAAGCCTTGCATTCCATCCCAATTACAAGAAAAATGGAAAGCTGTATGTGTCTTATACCACCAACCAAGAACGGTGGGCTATTGGACCTCATGACCACATCCTTAGGGTGGTAGAATACACAGTATCCAGGTATCAGTAAAAGTCTAAAATTCACAAATTCCGTATTTCTTAGCAACACTTGCATTTTAGTATTTCCCATCTCTAAAATAAGCTATCAGGTTTATGACGTATATACTTGGGCACCTGCAGAAAAACTATTGTGGGTTTTATTTCAAACAGTAGTTTGGAAATGCCAGTGAGTACACTGGCTTTTCTTTTTAAGACCTTTATTTTTTTTTTAGTTATTGTCTCACTTTTTTTTTTAATTATAATTATTTCCTACTTATTGTGTATAGGCAGCAAAATAATTTTTCTGTGGACGCTACAAAATTGAAATTTCTCAGAAACAACTGTTTGGCATTTTTCCACCAAGTTACAACATCCACATCTCGAAGCATAATTTGAATGAGTCAAGTTTATTTTTAGAAAGAAGTACATTGATAGTGAACTGTGAAAACTGTGCTCATATCTTTATCTTGCAGGAAAAATCCACACCAAGTTGATATGAGGACAGCAAGAGTGTTTTTAGAAGTAGCAGAACTACATCGAAAACATCTAGGAGGACAGCTTCTGTTTGGCCCAGATGGTTTCCTATACATTTTTCTTGGAGATGGCATGATCACTCTAGATGACATGGAAGAGATGGATGGTTTAAGGTACAAAAACTACCAATGGATAGACTTCTATTATTGTCTTTGCACAGTATTTGGGGTCAGAATCCAAAGTGATCAGCATTGTCAGGACAAATCTTGCTCCCTCTTCCTTTACTAAATAATCCTACTTATTTCAGTGCCTGGGTTTTGCAAACTGCTGATTTTCAGAACAGTCTGACTGCTTAAATACATCTTCTTGTAGCTGTGTGCTATCAAATCCTTTAAATACTGGAGTCCTCATCAATAAATGCAATTTTGTTTAGGCTTCTGTTTTCTGAACTGTTGTTCTATGAACAGAACGACTGTATTGAGCAAAGATTCCAAAATGTGTCTACAAACACATACCAGAGTCAATAACAACAATGCATCACTTAGGAAAATGTCCAGAGAACATATGAAGTAATCCTACTTTGGTTCTACCTTTTCCCAACCTGCTTTTTCCCTCTGCTTCATTATTCTCTGTTAGAGTTGCACTATTTGTCTTAATTTAGAGAAGGTGTGGTACTGAGCCTTTACAGACCTAAAAGGAGTTGCTGTTCAAAGGCCTCTTTGGCTCAGCAAAATTGCAGGTGCTCCTGCAATTTTTAAGTATTTTTTAAGTATAAGGATATACTTTAAAACCCAGGGCAGAGGGCAATTCTAACACTTTTAAATTAATGTAAAACAAGAGAAGACTGAAACAAATTAATGATGAAGAAAGACAGAAAGGAATCAATTTAAATATCACATCTTTTCATGTTTATAAAGAGAGTTTTGATGATCTACTCCTTGTCCTTTCTTCCATCACAATCATGAACATAATGTAAAACATTTTACTCTCTCCTGTTTCATGTAACAAGAAAGGTCTGAGTGCTTTCCAAAAAAAAAATAGAAATTCAACATTTCCATTCAAGCAATACAATTTATTTCTTGTTTGCTTTCTTTCTATGTAATTAGTCTTTGGATTGTACTGTGACTAGAAATCATTGAATTCAAGAGTAGGATTCAAAGTGTTAGCAAAAAGCATTAAGTACAGTTACTCTAGAGGAGATATTTGAAGCCATAAAACAATGCTGATGTTTGGAAAGTTGTTCTTATGATCAAGTTGCTTCCCAACACCATGGTCAGAGGTGTTCTAGTAGATAACAAGGCAATATATTGGCCACAACTGAGTCTTGAATAGGCTCTGCTATTATTTTTTGGACTTGCATGTACCATAAAATCAATCTATATGTGATTAATCAGTAAAAGTGGGTGGTTTATTTTTCTGTCTCACCATAGTATTATATGGATTAAATCTACCAGTAAAATACTTTTAAAAACCCAATTATTTTATCCTCCACCTCTCTCAGTGATTTTACAGGCTCTGTGTTGCGCCTCGACGTAAATACTGACCTGTGCAACGTCCCTTATTCCATACCACGGAGCAACCCACATTTCAATAGCACAAACCAACCTCCTGAGATTTTTGCACATGGACTCCACAATCCAGGCCGGTAAGTAAGTTTCTGAATTACTGAATTACTCTGGAGTAGGTACTGTTTTCAACCAGAAATTTTTTATACAGTCAGGTAGCAACATTTTAATAATAAAGGCACTCGTGAAGTTTTTAAATCCTCCGCTCCTCCTTCTCCTCACATATTTCACAGTTAGAAACAAATGTACGTTGGCAAAGGGGAAAGCAAAGAGCATGCACAACTACTAAAAGTCAAGACCAAAATAACAGAAATGAAGTACAGGATTTTGGGTTTTAGTGAATGATAAAATGACTACCCTTATGAAAGAAAAGAGCTTCAAGCAGAGGGTTGGTAAAGTACAGCTGAGATGGGAATCTTGACTGGGAATAATAGGCACGTGGAAAACAAATGAGAACATCTGGTGATATCTAAACAACAGCAAGGAGGAGAACAATGCTTTAACTAAACAACACATAATTCAGCGAATTAGGTGGGTGGTAGTACTGAAGTGACATTTAAAGTCATGGTTTGAAAAAAATCAGAAAGTCAAGTTGTTCAGATAAGGAGTTGATTCTTGGACTTTTTAACAGTCCAAAATTCCTACACCATATAAGTCAATTCGTTTTGCTTGGTTAAGGCACTATTCATTTCAGGTGCTTTAGAGCAGAGTACATTTTATTACTAGGAAAAATTATTTTTACATCAGATTATATAAAAAATGGTGTAGGAATGGGAAAGTTGTAATATCTTTTGGGTATGAATCTAACACACTGTTGGATATTTTGGCTCCGTATAAAATAGGTCCCTCACAGGAGTAGGCACCAAAAAGACACAATAATATTTTAAAATGTGATGCTTCATACTATTTCAAATTATGAACTCATCTATTTCATGGATTTTCTTCTTTTTTTTTTTTTGTTTTACAGGTGTGCTGTGGACCGCCATCCAACTGATGTAAACATCAATTTAACTATACTTTGCTCAGATTCAAATGGAAAGAACAGATCTTCAGCAAGAATCTTACAAATAATAAAGGGCAAAGACTATGGTAAGTTCCATCCAGGGTAAAGCTGCTGGGAACAGTCAGTTTTTGTGCCCATGGAATAATAAATAGAAAGCAGAAAAGATAGATAAAGGACTGTATAGCCATGATAGGAAACTTAGAACATAGATAGAAGAGATAACCTACCAAAGATAGAACTTCTGAAAAGTTCCATCTTTTCAAGGTAGAACTTCAAGGTACAAGCAGATAAAAGATTCAGGACAAAACAAAATTTCAATGACTCAACTTTGTTCTTGTTGGTGTAGAATATTATGTAAATAAGATTTATCAAATTTGACGGTTGCTAGTCCATCAAAGGTCAAACTCTTGGTGCATATATTGGCTCAGAAAGAGAAGATTTTGGAATATCAGGAAGTGATGAAAATGTATTCTTAGTCATTCATAAATAACCTTTTAAGACAGAATGGAAACCTCATGTAATGGACCTCCTATAATGGAAAAAATGAGATAGACAACAACAGACCTCAGCCAAACAGGGCTGAGCTCTGTTTAAATGTTACTAAAAATAAAAAACTTAGAAAAATGCTCTATGCTACTACTTCATGATAAATGGCTAGTTTAGATTAGATGACAAAAAGATAAATATACTCAATTAGGGACTTTAAATTATTAAAGTATTTCATGTTCTCTCTGAATTAGTATGACTGTCAGTCACAATTTTAGTTTAATGTTTAACTCTGACACTCGCTAAGGTCACTTGCTAGTTCAGGCAAGCCAGGTGACAGCTACTCTGAGCCATCATCCCCCTTGACTGACCATTTAGCAGCTTGTAAATCCACGATGGTAAGATGTGATAAATGCCACTGGTCTATCTCCTGGAATGCAGCATTTTCCGGTTTTATTCACATCCCTTGTTCCCCCACCTGTACTTTACTTACAAGCAAAGCAGCTGTGCTGTCCAGTACAACAGTACACAATAGTATCATGCAATTGTACTGCTTCAGTTATTGTGTGTATTTTCTGTGTCCATTTTACAAAAGCCAAACCAAAGAATAATATTTGGTTAACCACTGCTCCAATGGAATTTTGACTGCATCTTTATTGCAGAGTAAACTAAGCAATACTGTGTCTATCCAGAACAGCTTGCCAATATTAATACTAGGCTATGGGTCAACTCCTTCAATAAAAAGAGTTCATCATCCTTTTCTCCCCCATAAAATTTCAGGTCTTACTCTTGTAGAATAATCTGGAAAATGCATTTACCAAAGACTTGCAGATAGCCTTCTGACTAAAAAAGTTCCTATAAAACAAAATGGTCTATCAGCTGGGGCTTTTATTTAAAATTACACAATTGTCATGTCAAATTGAGCCTACTTTTACCCCAAGCAGTATTTGATTAAATGAATAGGAAAATGTACACTGAAACTCCCTTGAAGAATTATTTGATAGGACTAAACTCTGCGGCTTTGTGAAAAAAGAAGAAAAAATGTATAGGAATTGCAACTACAGCAACAGGGTAAAATTGCCACAAGAAGCTATGGCAAGTTATATTAGTTTTTATGGGATATAACACACCATGTTTAAAACTCTGATTTTGAAAGAGTTTCTCAAATCATTGAAAGGCTTTGAAAACAAGTTTTGTTGAAAACCAGTGGAATTTCTGCTCTTAGTTACTGGACTTTACAGTAAAGGGGGGGTAAATTGTGCTCCTGAAGTTCAAGAGATCCATTTTGCAGACTGTATTGACATTAGAAATTAATAGCAGTAACAACATCAATTTGAATGGAAGTCCAACCTAATCTTTGTGTAGTTTTATTGTCCCAGGTTGTACACATGGAAGACAAGCAACTATAGCCTCTCCTATTGAAAGTCTTAAACGGATTGTTTCACAAACAGATTCGGTTGTAATTTCATGATTTTTTTTTGTTTTAAATGTTTCATTCAACACACCTTGAATTTTGAGGAATCTTTAAATGGAATTAACCTTGCTTTCTTCAAGTCATAGCCTTTTCATAAATGTGAATCAATATGAGACTGCACGTGATCTAATGCTACGGTAGTTCCTTTTTAGAAAGTGAGCCTTCACTTTTAGAATTCAAACCGTTCAGCAGTGGATCCCTGGTGGGTGGATTTGTCTATCGAGGCTGCCAGTCGGAAAGACTCTATGGAAGTTACGTATTTGGAGACCGCAATGGGTACGTTTCTTACAACTCTTAAACACAAATGCCTCTAGGGTATATGTAGCCACTCAGCTGCCTGTATGAAGGACCACCAAAGGTCTTGTACATTGTGTCACTTTGCCAGGTTAGCACTGGGATAAATGCAGGTTAAACTCTAGATTTGGAAATAAAATAGCACAGCATTCTAATGGTGACATGCATAACACAGTTAAGCCTTGCAAAAAAGTAGTCTCACATCATGGTTCTCTTAAGATTTTAGTTCTAGATATGCTTACATGCAGCTTTTACACTATGAGGGGAATTAATCATGAAACTGTTTCCCAAACCAACTGGTAAGACATTGAAAACTTTTGGGATTTTATGGAAACATCACTGATGGAGCAACATGAATGTTTCTGTAATGAATGGGCATAGCTTCCCCATACCAGATAGCTGAATACTCATAAATGGTTGTGTAGTATAGCTTGAACACAATTTTGCAATATCTGAATGACTGGATGGCTTTTAAGCATCTGAAAAATAAATCATAAAACAATGAACTGCACAGATGTATCTATGCAGCTTCTTGCAGAAAGTGTTTACTTATTTATCTGGACAATGAAAAGTCTCTATTCCAAATGTAATGTAACAATTTGTTTTATGTGTTCTTGAATATAGAAATTTTTTAACACTGCAACAGAGTCCTGCAACCAAACAGTGGCAAGAGAAACCCCTCTGTCTTGGCAACACTGGTTCGTGTAGAGGTTTCTTTTCAGGCCCTGTCTTGGGATTTGGTGAAGATGAATTAGGTAAATACAAAAAAAAGTTCTTAAATCATAAGGCTTATTAGTCATGCCTGCTGAAGTATTCACAATTCTAGTAAATGTTTAAAAAGAAGGCTATCTTTCCTTTGCCAAAGCTATCTACACTGCTCTCGGCTACACCTCAGCAGCCTTGGAAGAAGAACAGAGAAGAGAATGTGTGGTTGGAAGGGTCAAAGGTCCTTATTGTCTCTCACACCCTGTGAACTGTGTCACTCACTATGACACAATGTATCATATACTTGCCTTTATTCCCAACATTACACACTTAAGTGGCAAAGAGACTGAATGAGCAGACTGATCCCCCTCTTCTCCCTTCCTCACAAATTTTACCTTTTTTAACCAATTTATACTATATGAAAGATAAAACACTCACGATAAAATATATATCACGTTTTAGCATCAATTTGGGTAGAGTGCTTATATACATTTTCAAATACCAATGGTTCTGCTGTATATTTCAGTGTCGAGGGTTTCTTCTGAAGTTTTTTTAATCTCATTTGGCAAATACAGCTAGATCACAAAAGTCATGTATTTTCCTTAGAAAAGGAGAACTAATTTATTGCACTGGCTTTCCTAACAGGTGAGATTTACATATTATCAAGCAGTAAAAGTATGACACAGCCTCACAGCGGAAAACTCTACAAGATTGTTGACCCAAAGAGGTGAGCATTGCATTTCTCTTTCAAATCAGCCTTTCCTTCAACTGGTTAAAAACCAAAAGGTAGCTGTAGTTCTTTCCATGTGGGTGAATTACCCAATAGTGGCATTCAATAAAAAGGGATGGTCCTGGTAGTTCTGAAGCCAAATGGCTTTTAGGTACCAGATGGAAAGCAGATGCTGGAATTCTCCTCAGTGCTACTGCTTCCTTACTTGACACCATGGTGGGACAATGCACAACAGGAGCTGGCTCAAAAGATTAGTAGAGTGGCAATACCTATTCTAAGCAACTACAGAAAATCATTTGACAGCACTAGCTAGTGTCAGTTTTGCCACAAGTAAGTTCTAAGGGACTAGTTCAGCCTTTCCCAAATATCTCTTTGGTTGTATAGGAGATACCACCAATGGGGAATAACACAGAGGCCTCACTCAATCCTCAGTGGGTGTGAAGTGTCCCTGCTTATTGGTTTTCAATGTCCTTCCCTGCATTTACCTGTCTCTCCCTGGGCAGGTTTGGAGCCCCAAGGAAGGAAATCCTTTGTCCTTGGGCTGTGTGCCAGAAATACACGAAGTTCTTTAACGGTTCTTATAACTCTGCTTCTAAAAGGCTTATAAATCCCACTCAAGTGATTTATAAGACTCAGATTTAATAGGATTGGTCTAATTATTTAGACTAATTTACCAGTTTTAAAATGAGGATAAATTAAAATTATCAAACCAAAGTTTCCTGAGATGTGATCTTTGCAGAGCAGTTGGAACTATGAAAATATTAGAGATAGAGAATATGCAAAAAAAAGCCAGTCCCCAACATGACCCAGGGGCCCCAGCAGCAGTAAGATCTGATGACTTAGCAGACACTCACTTTGGCTGGGGGAATACCATTTTCTTCACGATGGATCTTGCTGCTCTATCAGACCAAATCTGCCCAAGTGAAAGTAGCACATCCATCCTGAAAAAGCATCAGAAATCAACACAAAATGAAAGAGCCAACAGAAGTGAAGTTTGTTGTATAATTACTTTGACCCCATCATACCCTGCAAAAGGTACTGTCTATTTTTTTCAGCATCTACTTCAGCATCTTTCTCCATTAGTATCACATACAGTCAGACTTGTATTTTTGGTTTTGCTGTTAAGAAAAGAATTTTCCTGTTGAACTAAAACTCTAAAAATTGTTATTGGGACAACAAGTGAATACAACAATAAAATCATGAAATTGGATGCACGCTGTACTATAAGTTCAGTGTTTTATAACTGTACTATCCCAAAACAATAGCAAATAGTCTGGAAGCAGATGTTACCACAGGTTAGTGCAGTCTGTCAGTCAAGGTTATTATGTATGTTTTATTTATGCTTTCTGGTATTGAAAACATTTTTTCAGAACAAAACTTGCCATTCTTACCGGGATTGTTTAGTCTGTTGGTGTATGGTTTTAAGTGAATTTTACACCCTAAATCCACTATTAGTATCTAATTACATGGGGCTGCCTTGTTTGACCTCGGCTTTTTGTTCTTGTTACCTCTTCCAGTAGGGTGGTCTTCAGCTGACATACCTGAAAGGCCAGACCTCCCATTGCTGCACTCACGGTTGGCTGTTTTCATGTATGGAAAAGGGTCAAGACTGTGTTTGGTTACTGGTGAAAGTAACCAGAAAACTATAGAATACTTTTGTAAATTGGCACACAGTTGAAATTAAACAGACTGTGGCAAAGGGATATAGTTTTTGGTAATCTTTTTTTAGAAACATGGGATAATTTTCATTCAGGCAAAGTTTTGAGTTTTGTTGTTTTTCAGTCTCACACCACTGCAGGCTTTTAAGGGAAAGATAATGAGATACTTCCACAAAAGACAGCTGTAGCTCTATTTACCATTTCATGCTAAGTTCCTATTACCCATGTAAACAATTTTAAAAAATTCCGTGGTTTTGGAAAATGTTCATGTAAACTTTTGTTAACAGAATATTATAATTCACATGTTAATATTTTACTGCTTCTTCCTCATGGTGTGCATCATACCAATACAAAAATATATATATATGTAAACACTGGCACACTAAAGATGATACAGGTGGACTATGAGCATCAGGTATAACTAAAATCATCAAACTATTGATCTTTTATGTCTTAGAAATTAATTACTTAATAACAAAACCCTGTGAGAGGTGGCCCCCGGCAGACTTGTCAATTTGCAAAGAGAACTTTCCATGCCTGGGGCAGTGTAAAAGAACAAAATTATCATTCCTTGTGGTAGCCCCTTGCTGAAAATCAATACCTTCATGCAAAACCCAGCCTTCTTCTGCTAGTGGTCATTTGTAAGCTGCTGCAAGCTTGCAAAATTATTCTTTTATTTCAGATAATGAATGTTACATGAAGGTGCAGAATTTGTATTCTTTTGATCTTTGTCGAATCATAGAAACATTAAAGTTGAAAATGAGCTCCAAGATCATCGAGTCCAACCTTTTGAGAGAACACCACCTTCTCAACTAGAACATGGCACTAAGTGCCACGTCCAGTCATTTCTTGAACGCTTCCAGGGATGGTGACTCCACCACCTCCCCGGGCAGCCCATTCCAATGCTTGACAAGTCTTCCAGAGAAGCAGCTTTTCCCGATGTCCACCTTGAACCTCCCCTGGCACAGCTTGAGGCTGTGTCCTCTCATCCTGTAGAGAACTACTGCATAATCAAAAGTTGTTCTCAACCATAACCATGACCCAGACTTTCTTGTCTCAAATGTGGCTTAGGACAGAAATCTACTACTTGGATATTGCTAGCAATAGAAAGAAAATCAAAATATGTGGGCAGGTTAAAACATTAGATGATCAGAAGATGAGGGTAACCCTTTGCATTAGTCTTCAATACTCAGCAATGGTATAGTCCTATCCCAAAAGAATCCTTCAGATGTAATAAAAATGAGGTGTTTGTTAAACTGAGGTGTTATATGACAAACTGATAAACATGATCAGTACAGAGGTTCTGAATCCCACGATTGTCAAGGCCTTTTGAAACGTAGAATTCAATGTACCACAGAGAAATTTTTGTTTGGTTCCTCCAAAGACTCTATGTCAATAACTAAATAGACTCCCATCAAAAGCACAGAGTGAAATAATATTTCTTTTTGTAACAAGGTTATTGAAATGATACATTAGTACTTGAAAGCTTGTAGACAATAAAGTGATAAAAAAAAGCCCAAAGTATGTGAATTACTGCAAAATACATATATACTACCTATTACCAAAAATAGAGTGAAGGGTATAGCCAATAGCAAATTTAGCTTTGAGATTGGAGGAGATGTTGGAAACACTAAGAATTACAAACACATAAAACCAGCATGAGGCACATGAGTTAAACTGGTAGACAAGAGGAGATGTTCTCAAGTTAAAATTGTGTCTCTGAAAAATATATCCATTTTTTTACGATTATCAGAAAAACTAAACCTTCCAGGGATAGGAACTAGTGAGAAAATACAGGCAGAAAGACTTATTTTCTGCTCAACTAAAAGGGTTAGTCAGATATCCTGAAGATTGATGTAAATACTAGTATTTTTTAAATTGCCTTTGTGACCAAAAAACGAAACTTTTTTATTTTGTGGTTTCCTACTTTCTGTTTCATAATTTTTCTGTTGTGCTTTCTGTTTCTACAAATACATACTTATATCAATCACAAAAGCATTGATGTATTCAAAGGCAAAATAACTAGGTGATCAGTGATGTAGAAAATATAGAGAGGTTCAAATATTCCAGCTGGTTGATAACAGAGAAAATAGGAGACAACCCCATTAGAAAAGAAAATGTAATCATTTTTCTAGCATGATGAGAGGAGAAAATCAACTGTGAAAATGAATATTTAAATAAGTAAGATCTGTTGATAGGTCCATGTACTCTGTAACTTAAACATTATTACCAGACCAAGAAGTAAGAAAATAAACTTTGGATGGTGGTAGAACAGCCATAAAGTGGCTTTGTAAGTCTTCTTTTAGAATACTTGCAACAGGATCACTTTTATTTCTAAGGAAATTATAGATAAAATGAAAGACATTCAGAGAAGAGTTCTCAAACTGACATACAAGGCAAAAGTTTTCCATTTAAAAGATGTCCTCTATCCCCTGTGAAGTTTTAAGTGTTTGCCACCATCCATACAGTGATTCTAAAGGGGATGAACAATTCTTTTGACCAGGGTGGCTCACTGAAGCCAGAAGGTGATTTTTACAAAAGAGGGCAGAGTTTAATAAGTGTCCCTGCACACATAGGAAGATTTCCTCTTCCTCTCCTTCTAACACCTTATAGATCTGGATTTCAATGTGTTTCCTATCAACAGCCGGAATAGCTGCTTTCCACTGGGTTGAAACTTGAACTTGATTCAAACCATCTCGCTCCTCTTTCATGCCCCCCCAGGGTATATAATTCCACTTATCATCCTTTCCATAATCACCTTCTGGGATTTCCGCTGTCAGAGAATATTTCCAAACAACTGATTTCAAACACGAAGGGACAATATCTAGGCCATACCTCATTCTGACATTGTTCAGGCTCTTTAGAAAACCATTAGTGATTTTGGTTTTTAGTATGAGTCAAGAGTGTTTGATGGTATGATAGAAGAAAAGCATTTATGAAAGTGGAGCCCTGTTAAAGACTTTAATTGCTATGGAAATGCAAACTCAGAAACACGCAGTTTTAGACTAATCTGCATCAAGATACTCAGTTCTGATGGGTTATAGACATACTCTGAAGCTACTACTGGAAACTCTCTGTAGAATGAGCCAATTTTGTCGGTGAATACGCTCACCAAGCCAGGTGGGCCATATGATTTCTTTCTGTTCAGAAAGTTACTATCCCTTAAGTCATTTGAGGGAATGGAAAGCCAGAATTAATGTCTAATTATGTTTAGTTTAGCCAGAGCATGCAAAATTCTTATCTCATTTACCTACCCACATGCAGTTACTATTCCCATAAGAGACACTAAAGAGAAATTAGAGCTTTTTGCGAATACCAGCCTAGAGAGTTTCAATTTAC